ATATATATATATATATATATATATATATATATTTTTATATATATTTATATATATATATATATATATATATGGCAAGAATCAGAGTCGAATCCAGAACCTTCTTGCAATATATGTATATATTATTTTATATTTATATGTGTTATATGTGTTTATATAGTTAGAACATATATATGCACACACAGATACATACGTATACAGTATATATACACATACAATATGTATACAATGTATGTACGTGATGTATATATTAAATATATATGTATATATTTAATATATACATATATATTTAATATGTACATATATACATATATTGTATACATTACATACATACATTATATATAATTCAAAGGAATTGTTTCCAGTTTTAATTATAACATGTATATGTAATTTTGTCATAAAGATATTTGATTTGAAAGTATTCCAGTTCTCCTTTTAATACTATTAAAGAGAAAAATTGTGAGGCAGGGAAGTACAAAGCAGTACACTTACCATCCAGCTTCATTTGGTATGCCGTGTTAGTGTTAGCCTGATCAAGCTAGCTGGAGGAGTCACACTTACCTACAGTTTGGGAGAGCCTAAGCTCGTCGTTCAGCCACCTGCACAAACTATCTAACATTGTCCTGATTAACTTCACTAGGAGGTATATTCGTTTTCTAGAGGATATTAACGGTACAAGCTGAAGCTCGGCGGAGGGAAACTTCCGTTGTACCTCGTTGCCATGGTAATACATAAAAACGGCTAGCTGGCAATTGTGATGATGACAGATCCAGGTTTCGTTTTCGTGTTTCACGTTAGAGGATTATAGACTGGTTGGCTGTTTGTTTGACTGGTTCTGCAGTCCTGGGTGACTGTTCTGACAGCAGGGGTTTCTGTTAAGTGTTGATCAATGTTTGACGCTATGATGTGTGATAGGAGCTTCTATGTTGTTGAAACTGTCCCCTTCTGGGAGTCTTTCTTTATAAGGAATGTTCAGCTCCCATTCAGCCATTAAGGCTATCTGAATTATATGAAGTATGTGGATTTTCCTAACAATCTGAGAAGCAGTAGACCACATTTAAAAAAAAAGTTAACTGATTTTAAAATTTTATTTCAGTTTAATATGGGAAAAAAGTCAGAATTCTGAGATTAAAGTCAGACTTCTGAGAAAAAAGTCAGAATTCTGAAGTTAAAGTCAGGACTCTGAGAAAAAGTCAGAATTCCCCTCATATTATACTGAAATAAAATCTAAAAAACATAAAAAAAAAAACCTTTTTTTCATTTTTTAAGTGGCCCCAATCCTAAATTCATGTTTTTTATTAATAAAAAAGAAAAACAAAAAAAACCCCAGTGACTTTTGACACTCAGGAGCAGCATAAGCACCCATGATCTGGGATAAAAGTCAAGCATGTGCTTGCAAAGACTTCTGAACCATCTGATACTATTTTCTCTTCATTCAATTAGAAATTTTAGTCTATTGTAAATACAAATTTAAATCAGTAACAACCTTTCTATAACCATTGTTCCCTTGCTTTTTGGAGAATGGAATACAAAAGAAAAGCACATTTTTGTTGCCCTTTTGGGAAATTCCAAGAATTCAAACACAGATTTGTCATGAAACAGGTTTGGGTAACTTTAAAAAAGAAATCAGCAGAGAAAAATAACCAACAGATGTGGGTAGAGTACCCAAAAATTTTGGTAAAAGTAAGACCACTTCATCATAATTTAATCAAGTAAAGGTAAAAAACAAAACAAAAAACAAAAAAACATCTAAAGTAACTGCTTAATAAAAGTTAAAAGTACAATGTTGTAAGTATTTTTTTTCAAAACATTTTTCAAGTAAATGTAACTGAGTAACTGCAACTAGTTACTCACATCCATCAATAGTTCTGCAGATTTGTCCATTATTTATGCATCCAGCTTTTCACATTTAATTTCTGCTAAAACATCCAAAAATCCGAAGAGGACATACATGCTTATACTTTAAAAACAATAAAAGCACATGGAACTGTTTCACAATGGGAAAACAAACCTGCACACCTAATGAAAGCATGAGCACAAAAAGTAATACACACTATAATAAAAAAAACAACCAAATTTATAACATGCATATAGGCTATATAATTTGTTTTCGCACCAAAATCTGTGGTTTCATGCGTGGGCATGTTATGTAATGAATATCTGAGTCATACTGACATCTGTTGGTGAAGAAACACGTTCTAGCCGTGTGGTGTCATGTTAAAATTGGTTTCAGTCAAAGTATTTATTTCTAGAAGTGTGTCCTTTGTTATGCCACGTTAGATAAAAAATATTGCAGAAGGTAATAGGCTAAACATAAAAATCTTTAAAAATGAAAAATAAGATGTTACTTTAGACTCTCAAACCTTTAACGAAATTTACTTGAAATTGTAAAATTAAAAAACATGTGAATTTTGATTTAAATATTTTGACTGGACGGCCTGAAACTTTGTAAAAACATAAGCCTATTTCTACCTCATGCTTAATAAATACAAAGCAAATAAAAAATAAAAACAGGGAGAGGCTGCTTTTATGTTGCCTTTGACACACACCCGGAAACGCAGCAGGGAGCGCGTTTCCTCAGGGGTGACAGATTTCAGCAGAACACCTGTAAACAATGTGGCGCAGGAGATGCGCCCTGCCTCTTTTTCACAGCCGTGCCTACTTCCTGGTGGACGAGCCTGCTCCTCGCCTGCTGTTGTCGTAGTAAAGGAGTAGAGGGGGCAGCTGAAGTCAAGGTAGGACAGATGTATCGAAAACAGCCAGTTACTTGCTTAAGAAAATCGATCATTTTTGTTTTTCCTTTTATTTTTTAAACATCAAGAAGAAGAAAAATGGGAAGCACGTTGATGGAGTCCAGCAAAGGGAGCTCAAAAAAGATCCCAAAAAAGAGGAAAAGTCTGCGGATAAACATGCCAGTAAGTCGGGGAAGTTTTGCATTACTGAAAACTTTCCGATAAACTTTTTTTTTTTTACTTTCAGTTGTTTTGCTTTTCTCTAGTGTCATTCCGTCCTTAATCATTACATGTTAATCAGTTGCTTTGACTAAGTGTGGCTCAGTTCATGCAGAAATGCATATAATGCATTAATAATTTTTATTTAATCTGCAAATTAAACGGTATGCATTTATTGTGATACATCTACAGGCAACATCCGATATTGACCTTCGGTTGTTGACATGTGCAAAACAAAAAAAACAAAAACAGGTTGTTTGTCAAATTTTCTGCTTTGTCCCTAAACATGCATATGGAATTTTCCATGTGCATTTCCAATTTTCCAAGGGGTTAAATTAATTTCCTTTTTAAATATGAATTCAAGTAAAAATCTATATATATATTTTTTTTAATTTTGAGGTGAAAACCAATGAAAAGTTTTTTTTTATTTTTTTATTTTAGGTAAAAACAAAAGCAGCTAAAAGAACATCCAAACAACTAAGGAAAAAAAAAAAAACAGCTTTAATTCTTTTTTATTGTTTTGAAAGATCCTGTTTTGGGCAAGTTACCATTTTTTTTTATCACTTGCCTTACTAATGGAGTCCCCCGTTCCTCAGTGAGGTCTAGAAGCACTAGATCTATACCAGCTATTCAGCATATATACTGCTACATGGCTGTACATCTTATTTTGGCATTTTACCAAATAGATGAGCCCTTGAATGATATATTACCTACTGGATATTAAGTTGAAAAGCAAAAGTTAACAATTCATGAAAAAAAAGGTAAAAAGCTAATTGAAAAGTTAAAAAGTTAATAAGCCTAGTTAGCAATTATATTTAGGTTCATAAACTAAAAAATGTAAGTGCCAGTATTAATGCCTCTATGGTTATGTTGGACCAAAAAAATGTGATCCTTTCACTCTCAGAGTGTTTTTCATGAATTTTCTTATAGAAGAACTTTTGTTATTTTTCTTAATATATTGGGGCAAGTTGGTGTTTCCTGTTATCACGTTGACATTCATTTTTGCCATCAAAATATCCATATTTTTTTAATGCAACAAAGGTAATAAGGTCCGGTGCTGGATTTCAATAACACTATTGGCTGGAAATTTAGATTTTCAAAGTATTTCACTGAAGGCCCTATAAAGGATTAAAAACATCCCTCCTTACTGTGACCTATAGCCTCAGAGAATGAAGTGATTAATTTTAAGCTGAAGTGTGCACAGTGTCAGAAAAGGTTTTCTCCTTCAGCGGTTTTGAAATATGAACACAAATTCAAAACAAGGTTTAATTTCTCCTCAACCTTCTTGACTTAAAATGTGAAAAATGGCTGCTATTAATTGGTATATTTTATGTGATCAAAGCCCAAATAAAATTGTCTGTCACTGCTAGGCCATTTATTAGACACTAGATATGATCAATTAGAGGCACCAACCAAATATGACCAAATTATTTAGTTCAATGCCATTAGCTGCAAACTTTGTTTATTTTCATTAATTAGCAGGATTGATACACACCTATTCCATATCAGTTTTTACAGCCACTATTACAGATTGTGTCGATAAGGTGTTGTTCAAAAGTTTATATTTGAAGGGAAGACCTTCAGATCTGATGCAATGTTATGAATGTTGCACTTGACTGTGACATTAGAACCACACAGTACTGTGTGAACTTGAATGTGTCAGCTAGTTATAACTTGGTTACCAAACCTGATTTCTTTGCTACATTATTTCTCACATGTTGGAGAGTAGCAGCTAACCCTTGGAATGAAGGAAAGAACCAGGAGTGTTGTTTGCATTATGATTGTGTTACAAAGGTTTCTGCAGGGGTTACAAACACTCACAGCCTTCTGCAGAAAAGAAGCACAGTTTCCAGTGATGCGACGCCCGCAGACACACACCCTTTATTTACTCTGCTGTATTTTCAGAAAATTGACACAAATATTTCTACTATGTGCAGGACTTTGGGGATTTAACTGCCCCTAAATTGGAGACCAGTGGCCAAACCAAAAGTGGCAGTCAGACGGTATTTAATCATTTTGTTTTCTTTCATACTTTGTAAATCATTTTCCAACTGTTTGCTCAAGCTTGCCCTTTTCCTGGCCCTCTCGATGACTTGTGGCATCTGTTTTGATGTGTTTCTTTGGCTTTGAATAAATTAAGATTAATTTTAGAACATTACAATAGGCTGTCTTTTTTTTTTTTGCCAACTCACTTTGCCTTACAGTAACACACCCACAGAGTCCAGGCATAGCTGGAATGGCATACAGTGCATTGATTTTATTTATAATATTTTGGTAAGAAAAGCAGACCTATTCCTACTGTCTCTTCCTAGTGTTCTAAATAATCATCCACTGCAGCTGAAGATGCATATTTCAGTATTATCTAGGAAATATCTATGCAGTGCTGATAACACTCCGTCCTGGCTTGTGTTTAATGAATGCTGAGTGATATCCAGAGAAAACCCTGATATCTGCCTTGCTTGTCTTAACAAGCTCTTGCATAATATGTGATTGAGATTTGTTGGCAAATGGGGAAGATGGGTGTGTGCACTTTCATTCCTCCAGATTACCAAATGATTGGTTAAGGCTGAAATGTGCCAGAGAAAAAGGAAACTAAACAAAACACTCTTCCTTTTTTGATTTACATTGTAAAAAGAAAAAAGAAAAGATTTTATGTTCTGCATTCTGAGTGTAGTAGTTTTTTTTTTTTCTTTGCACCATTTAGTCTTATTTTTTTTCATTTGTTGTCAAAATGTCAATGTTGCATTTCACTGTTTGGAGTGAAAACACTTCTTAGCTCCACAACCTTGTATACTTTAATTCGTCCGTGCATCCCTGCACGCAAATCGTTAAATGGGTTGTTGTTGGTTCCTCCAGAGCAGACAGGAGGCAGTGGTGGTGGGAGGAGGAGGCCGTCTCTGTCTCCTGGTAGACTTAGCTTCAACCTCTAATGCTTTGTTTTTGTCTCTGCATTGCAAACAGTGAAGGCTTTCTCAATCTGTTTATGTGTTATTGACCTCATGAAGGTAAACCTCTTATCACGGAGAGCGACACTGAAAATGAATGCTGCAACTGCTGAACTTGGTAGAGTGCTGCTTTTTTCAGAACTTTAACCTTAACTGGCCATTTTATTAGTTACACCAATGAAACTGCGATTTGACCCCAATAGTAAATCGACCACTAATGTGACAACATAGTATAAACATTTAACTAAAGTGACAGAACATGGAAAAAAATGGGTTTAGTTCCCCTGAATTTGGCAAAGTTTGTTGGTACTGAATGGACAGGTCTGTGTTTTTCAGAAATTGCTGATCCGCTTTTCACACTCAAATTTCTGCGTAGTTTACAGAGTGATTCAGAAAAAAGAATAGTTATGGGTATGTTGGTGAAAATGGTGTTTTGATTTCAGAATTCGGATGAAAATGCACAGATAGGATTGAGATGGTTTAAATGATGCAGTAGCTCAAATAATGATGATATTAAACAATTGCAAACACTTTATATATCTAAAGTATGCAGATAACTAATTATGAATGAACAACTAACTAAATCTTTATGTTGGTGCGGCAAAAGAGGGCTGCAGTTCAAACAGACTCTGGGAAATGTAACAGCAGCAGAATGGACATGTTACTCGCTCTGATGTGGCTTGCTTTCAGCTGCAACAGGTGGTAGAGGTATAATCTGGCATAAGAGTAAATGTGAGCATGGTTGTGTCTGTATGTCCGCCCTAATTACTGTACAGGGCACTATATAGTGGTCTTTTGGACATTTTAAATAAGTGTCTGAACGGTTAGTGGATGAAAAAGTAGTGGACTTGAAATTTCCCACAGTGTACCTTGAAAAGTAGTGATCATTTATGCTCACTAGACAAGCAGATATATCCCAGAATGCTTAATGCACTATCGGATTTGCTGTCATAGCGGCTTGCTTTCGCTGGCCCATAGGCTGTCGTTACCCGACAGCCCCGACTAATAACAAAGATGGCGCAGGCAAACATCTTGTTGTGTGGGCAGTGTTGCTCTAGTATTGCACTCGTTCCAAAGTGGGGAAAGCATGAAGAAGAAACTCCATCTCATGGAGTTTCTGGTGCTATTTTGGTGTTCAGATGTTGTTGTGCACAGTCAAAAACAGAGTATACTAGAGAGCTACCCCTCCGACACTTGGTTAGGATATCGGCTCTGCTGTGATTAATTAGCTGGATCGGATATTAGATAAATGCGCCGATCTGATCTTTTCTATATTTATTGATATTGTACACAGCAATACATTTATACAGTAACAATCTAATCACTTCAATTTTATGATTGCAAAGCTGATTACGCGATCAGGCAGAGCACGCACGGCATCTAGTGATGATTTATCTTATGCTTATGTCTAGTATGGTGCCTTTTTTCACATGGCAAGATATTTTTTTTCCAGCGTTTTTATTGTCATTACACTGTCACAAGTACAGCGCAACAAAATTCACTCGGTGCATTTAACCCATCCCCTTGGGGAGCAGTGGGCTGCCATTCTGCGGCACCCATGGAGCAGTGTTGGGGTTAAAGGTCTTTGCTCAGGGACCCAGAGTAGCAGTCTGTGGGAGTGGGTTTCAAACTCACAACCTCAGGATTGCAAGCTCAAAGCTTTGAAGACATTTAGCTTCCCATCCAGGACGCTTTCTCAACTAAAAATGTCAGAAATAGGCTTTATAGTTAATTCGAGGCTTTATAGAGTGGACCAAAAACAAAGCCTTGTTTGACTTAGAAAACATGCAAATTGAACCTGAAGAACGGGTCCGCCCCTTAGGAAAGGGCAGATGTTTAGGTTCTTTGTTGACCTGCAATACCCGATACATGTCTATGTCTCTGAAAGGGGGGCTCTAACGTTTCCTTTCGTTTCAGCAAAAAAATAATAATACCACAAACCAAAAGATCCAGGCAATGCAGAGATTTACCTCAGAATTTATTCTGATTTCTCACTTATCCCGCTTAGGTTTAACTTATATTAAAGTGAAGCTCATAAACTGTGGCTTTTTACAGATTTCGGTTAAAGTTAACCAAAATTGAATAACTACAAACTAAAATCAGTTAAACTTGTTTTTAGTGTGCTGGAGATGTTGCACTAACAACAAAAATAGAACCATGTCAGTCTTTATCTTCGTGGTGGCTGCTGCACTGATGGTAACAGATATAGGCGTATGGGTTTATAAAACACAATAGCTGACATTCTTGCAGTAATAACCCTGAAACCAGTCACTGTAGTCATATTATGTTTGTAACAATATTGTCCACTTGTTAGGAAAGTAAGACTGATTCATAAAAGTCTTTTAGCACCTGCAAGGCTAAGTTATGTTGTTTTCCTTTATACATTTAAGCTTATTTTCCTATAAGCTAAAGTTCCCTCTTGCAGCTGAGGACAGAAAAAGTAAACTAAAATCTGTAAACAGCCACTGTTTTTCTTTGAATAACCAGACATAACATCCAAGTAAAGCCCCCGTTGAGGCTCCTGTCTCCTCTAGATATGGAATAGCTATGGATCAAGCAGCCAGCTGGAGTCAGGACAAAGCCAGGCCCTGATAACACGTTTACATTTTGCAGGCAGTGATTATCCCAATGTCTTCATTTGATCGGGCATTGAACTGATAGAGGTTATTAATGCCGTTCACTTTATCAAAGGAGCAGTAAAATTTATCCTTAGGGCACTCAGTAAGGACTCCACCTTGTTTAGTTGCGGCCTTTTTGATTTGTGTTTATTGTCTCTGTTCTATTCCAAAAAAGTAAGAAAAAATATTTATATATATCCACTGGACTTTGTTTCCAAGTTTGAAGGCGTTTCTTTTCCCGTCCAGGAAGCTTTTTCAATTCAAAATGTCAGGACATTTCCTTTGTTAGCCTGCAACTACCCATACCTGTCTAAGTCTCTGAAAGGGGTGTTGCTAAAGGGAATTCTTGGTCTGCCTAAATAGGCTAGGTCTTCTGCTCTCCTGTATACAGGTTGGGGTTGCGATGGTAGCAGGAAGGGATCGGTGGACCTGTTCGTTTTTGGAATGACTATGAACTAGATGACTGAGAATCTTCCCCAGTAATATCTATTCAAATATGTTTGTGTTTCAAGTCTTTCTAGGAAGTATGTGTGGTTTTCACATTTCTTGTCCACTAAGTAAATGATATTAGGTTTTTAATGCTTCATAGGTTCTACTTTTGTGATCAAACATGTTTTTATTTTTCTTGTTAATACACATTTTACAGGTATTTTACAGGGTGTGACGAAAAAAAAATTATAAATTTGACCAGCATGTCTGCTCTTTTTTCCATATTAAGTCATGGACCAAAATTTTAATTTTTACATATTAATTATGTTTGTTGAATAAGGCCGTATAATTGAGTAGGTGAAGGTTAAACATAACAGTTGCTGATAATGGGACCATATATTTGACTACATTCTTAGGTTTTAGCTTAATTTACTGCAACATCCGTTTTGCCCCAGTTCAGTTACACCTAAACTCTTATTTTCCACACTTGTTGCGTAACACTATCCTTATGGGGTCTCGATTCATTTCCCATTAATTTTTTATGGCCTAAACCAAACATTACCAACATATACCAAACCATAAACTCTATTCACACCTTAGGCCTCTACCTAACCCTCACCAAAAGAACTAAAAATTTTTCCATGGGCACCAGTGGTTGGTCCCTACAAGTACCTGTAAGTCCTTAAAAAATGTACTGTAGCATATTTCTGGGAAAATATCCCACAATGCTACAAAAACATGGCCATACAAACATGTTGTGTCACACTATCCTTTTGGGCATGTTGCTTTGACTTCCAATCGTTTTCTACCCTAGTGTTTGCAACCTCTCCTTAACCTAAACCGTGTTTTAGAGGTTTCCCTGCTTCAGCACAGCTGATTCTGATGATTAAAGTTCAGCAAAAGCCTATTAATCAGCAATAAATGAAAATCAGCTATGCTGAAGCAAGGAAACCTCTAAAACCTGCAGGGACCGACTTTGGGCATGCCTGACCTAAACCATAGTCTTAAACCTAAGCCAACAAAGTTGGTCCAGTCTGCACTTTACATCAAAGTTCTCACTTTACTTTTAAAATGCACAAACATGTCCTCACTTTGCAGCAAGTACGAGTACACACACATTTTCTATATTAAATGAGCATAGAACCAACATCTATCAATTTCACATACTACTGTCTGCCTCTTAGATAGCATTGAACCCAGTTCCAGATGGCCCATCTAATCCCATTTTTATATTATTTATTTATAGTTTATATTATACCTTGTGTAGTTTAGAAATCCCACCAAAAATCCCCACATGGAGAATCACTGTTTCATTCTCTGCACTAAGGAACATTGAAGTCCCTCTACATCAACACTTTAACCATTTTTTTGCAGCAGTTACTACTGTGTTCAGGGAATCTATCTCAAATCAATCTTCAATTAGAAACATTAAAGTTTGAGATTTTAACAAAGTAAAAGGGACCTGAACGCATGCATTTTTTAAAAATGTCATTGAGCCTCCCATTCATTATATAAAAAAGATTAAAGCTACCTTTTTCCTAATCCGAGGATATAGGCTTTATTCTAGATTTTACTTGTACACAGCATGTTATAAGATAACGAGTAGCTAACTAAACAAATGCCCGTCAAAAAAGGAGAAGTGGCTGAATGTGTGACTCAGCCCTTGTTTCACAATAAATCTTTTCCTAACTCTTGCTTTCTTCACTTTGGCCCTTCAGTTTGCTGTTTGTTTACAGAGCTCTCATAGTGAACGGTGCATTTACTGATATGTAAGGGTATGAAACTGTCTTTCTTTCTTTCTTTTGTCTCAGGAGGAGCGTCTCATTCGTTCAGCCAGCCCCACCAAAGGAGTTTCTATAAAGAACCCCTCCAGCAGGCCTTCAACACCCCAATCTGCTTCATTGCCAAAGGCCCTGTCAGCTTCACCAAAATCTATTTTCCCGTATCCCTCCAATCAGTGCTCCTCACCCAAGTCCCCCCATCGCCTCAGCTTCAGCGGTATCTTCCGCTCAAATTCCACATCTGCAAGCATGAAAATCTTCTCCAGAACCCGAAGAGGTAAGTGGATAGGCCACAATTGGAACAAAGACTCAGCTTGTTCATTCGATGGTGCCTTATCTGAGCACTGATTTCTTGTACGCTTAGAGATAGAGCAGGCAGAATCTTCTAAAGGAAGTTAGACGGCTGTGGTAGAACATGCTTCACTTTATTGAGGTTTCCTGCAGAAGTTGAAGCCACATTCAGGCCCCTGTGCTGCTTGTGCTTGATGTTACACAAAACACAGCTGAGTTTTTGGTTCTGTGCTGAATGTTTTGATGAAAAGTAGAAAGAAGGAGTTTGCACTTCAAAGAAGAAGAAGAAACATCCACTTCTTTTTATTAAGGTGCTCTGGAGCTTAGTTTTTTTGTTTTTTTTTAAAAAGCAAAACAGTGTTATCTTTGACCCAAGTTTTACCCTAATTTGAGATTTATTAAATGAGCGATTATTGGTTATTATACAGAACTTTGTGGGTAGTGATGCTTCCGGCAATTTGCTCTTTTCAAATACTCGCCTATATAACTTGAGAGGGTCTGATCCTTCACTTAATGGGCCATCTGACCCAGAGCACCACTTTACAAAAGGCACAATGGCTAACTAAGCTAAAAGTTGTTGTTGGGCAACAAAACGGTTATGACCGTAATCTGATCAAAGACATTTTTGGTTCTCTGATGTAGGATTTAATTTAGACCCGAATGCTGTACCTACATAAATCCATGACTTTTCACTCTGCTGGTCAACAGTGGTTGGGTATCAGCTTCCAAACATGGAGGAAGAATGATTCTGCGACAGGGCAATGTTGCAAGTGGCTTTCAGGGGGGCTAGACCTGGTAGTAAACAGTTTAGCTGAGAAACATTGGCTGTGTCCGAGCGTCCGCCCTAAATCCCTCAATCACTATATAGAGTTGGGACTATATAGTGAACCTAGTTAACTAACCATTCAGATAGATGATCAATACTTTTCACTCCCAATTGGTCACATAACTTCGTCGTCCTACACGGTACCTGCGCCATCTTTGTTCTTTCTTTCTGCCATAACTAATCCCTGAGAGCTTTCCGAGGAGAGCTCTCGCATGGCATTTCGGGTTATACCTGCCATGTGACCATGGATGATCACTACTTTTCAAGGTGCATTGTGGGAATTTCGGGTCCACTACTTTTTCATCCACAAGACATTCGGACACTCATCTAAAATGGCATAACCACTATATAGTGCCGTATATGATGTTCGGACACAGCCATTGAAATCCTGTAGGGCAGTGGCCCTTGAGGACCGACTTTGGACCTGCCTGATCTAGTGATCTAGAGAAAAGGAATTGGTTTTTTTTTTGCTGTTGGATGTCAACTTTTTTTCAGATTTGGCATCTCACCATTAGGAGGGCTGCCAGAGTGCGCTCACCGGCCGCTATTGAAGCTCATTAAACATAATCCTAAAACAGGCATAAATGAGACGGGGTTGGCAGAACAAGGCCGTGCTTTATGAAGGGCAGACCTAACTGGCAACCCTAAGCTTTCGTGTCAATATGCATTTGTGGGTTTATCGTTGCATAACAGAAAACAGCCCTGTGTTCATGGAAACAGCCCTGTTGGAAGCTGCATCAAAAGCTCCACGAATGAGTCACTTTTTTTTTCTTTTGGCATGTACATGAGGCCCATTCTTCTGTGTTTCCTCACAGAGGGTCAGTTTGGCAGAGGCTGATGGAACAGCTCAGCTTGGGCCAGACCTTAGTATGCTCAGCTTCCTCTGGTGAATGGTATTGATCGTAGGCTAACTAAAAAAAAACACCACCAGAACACACTCCAACTGATTCACTCCTCCAAAGGGAGCAGCTTGGGTTCATTAGAGTAGGATTTGCTTTGAGACACAGCTTCATCTCTAAATGATCAGTGGAGAGTGAAACTTTACACTGAATGTCAAAGACTGATTAAGTGCTCGTGGCAAAACACTGTCTATCTACAGTGCTTTGAAAAATACTTCACAACCATTAGAACTTCTCCACACTTTCTTGTTACAGCGAAAAACATCAGTATGTTTCTTTAAAGTTCTAGAGTGTGTAATACGAATGAAAAATAAGGGGGAAATTGAAATGTTTTTATCATTCAAACTCTAAAAACTTTGATGTACATTAGTGCTTGACCTTCCTCAGTCCAAAAATGTCTCAGAACAGACGTATATTCAAGGTCTGTTTCCTAAATCTACTTGCAACACATGAACTCCTTCCCATTGAATGATGAGTGTAAGCAAACTTCAGTTCTTAGATGCCTTTAAAACTCTTAAGTCACAAATTTCAGGACTTTTGTGATGTTTTGCAAATACAGATCCTTTACACATGCCATTCAAGGCCTCAATGAGGGTTTCTTCACAAATCTGACCATTTTTATTTCCATTCAATGCATCATCTGTAACCAGAGGGGGACATCCCAGCTCCAGAAATTAAAAACCCTGCCTTTTGTTTTTTTTTATCCTGTTAAACTAAGCAGGTGATTAGTCTCTGGCTGTGTCCGAACGTCTGCCCTAACCCCTAAATCCCTCAATCACTATATAGATTGCAGACTATATAGTGGACTTTATAGTGAACTCGGTGAACTGACTGTTCGGACAGATGATCACTACTTTTTGCTCCTCGTTGGTCTCGTGACTCTGCCTCCCCGCACGGTGCATGCTTAATCTTTGTTCTTTGTCGCCGCTATCGGTTAGCAATGATGGGCCGCTGTGACAGCAAATCCCATAATGCTTTGCGAGGAGAGCTCTCCTCGCAAAGCTTTCCAGGATATATCTGCTCCTCTAGTGACCATGAATGATCACTACTTTTCAAGGGTCATTATGGTTCATTTCGAGTCCACTACTTTTTCATCCACTAGACAAGAGGTCGCAGATTAGCAGACCACCTACCGAATCAAGACCAATCGGCTGGCTAATCCTGACCCAACTGATTCAAAACATTCATAAATTACTGCGGGCTGCTCAGTGACAGAGTAAATAGCACTGCTGCCGTGCAGCAAGAAGGTTCCCGGTTTGATTCCCAGCCTTTCTTCCCGCTCTTTCTGCATGGAGTTTGCATGTTCCCCCTGTGCATGCGTGGGTTCTCTCCGGTCTGGCTTCCTCCCACAGTCCAAAAACATGACTGTTAGGTTCATTGGCTTCTCTAAATTCTCCAGAGGTGTGAGTGTGAATGGTTGTTTGTCCTGTTTGTCTCTTTGTTGCCTTGCAATGGACATGCAACCTGTCCAGGGTGTACCCCTCCTCTCACCCATAGACAGCTGTATCAGTCAGTGTCGCTGCTTCTAACCACTTTTAGATACAGCAGGCAAACCTGTGGAAAGCCGGCTGGACTGCTGGAAGAACTGCGGTGAACTGGTTAAAGAAAAGTGAAATTGTGTGCTAAAAGGTGACACTTCACACTTAGGGTATGTTTGGCTCAACCTGCTCCTGTGAAGCAGGATTCCCCACCATAAACATGATCAAAAATAAATATTGATCCAGGCTCAGAATGAGCACCTTGATATGTGCTTTAAAATGGGTTTTTCGACATTCAACCCCAGTTTTAAAAGCCATGAAGGCCAGGGTGAAACCTACTTCTCTCATTAAGCGATAAAAAAGAAAAAAAAAACAGTCAGTTCAGGTGTTTTATTAAATATGTGTTTTCCATTTTGAAATCATGAATAGCACAGTGATCAATAGCATGTTCACTGTCTTGTGTAACATTTTATAGCCTATTTCAATCATCACAACTTTATTCATTAGCTATCTGCTTTGCTCCTCAGCTTCATGATGCTGTGTGTTCACTAATTGTAACTAACAAACCTGTAAGGCCGTCACAGGAGCGCTGGATTAATGCTGGGCCTAATTTAATCACTCGTGTTGTTAATTGGTTGAGAACTGTGGTTCCACTTGATTTTGTTGAGATGTTTCACAGTAAAGAGGGAAAACTACCACACAATTTACCACCTATTAAATCCTTCCACTAAATCCTTTATACTGTGTATCTTCTCCTATAATATACAGTGTTTTATAAAATCCATTAAAATATATTTAGATTTAGATGTCCTGATATGGAAAAGTTCAAAAATCTTTTCTGAAGTTGCTGAATATTAGGTGTAAAATGTTGTTTATGCCTTTTTTTCACCACAAGGGGGTGCTAATGCCATAGCCTCCTTCCTAATTTGTCTCTTCAAACTCTAATCTGTGGTTGTAGCACCTCCTTTCAACACCAAGGAGAGCTTTATTTATATTTTTTGCATCCTTTTCTCACACCACTAAGAGAAAGGTCTGTTTGTATCGATGCAAATATGACCAGAATGTTGCCTCATTCTGGTCCGTTTCTAAATCTGTTTCCATCGCCTGGTTATTGTCAGCCTCTTGCTGCCGTTGTGCTTCCATCGCCTTATCTGGAAGTGACCAGACTCTCAGGAGCTCCCTGCACAGCCATGCACAGTCTTCTCCCACCTCCTTCTCTCTCACTTTTGGTTGCCAATGTGCCATTTGTTGTCGGTAAATAAAGGAACTGGGTGGCTTTGACCTTCTACATTCTTGCAAGCCGGTCCTTACAAGGTATTACTTCTTTAGCTATGAAGCAATCATTCTCACAGAGAAATACACCTTTTCCAATGGATTTGAATCCTGGATCCTTTTTAATTATGCTTAATTTTAATAAAACTGATTTATTATATCTAAGCTAAGTCAAGTTGGGTGTTCACACCTTGCATAACATGTTAATTAGAATCCATACGGCCCTATTAAACTCTTTGGGGGGCATTAGAAGATGGTAGAAGGGGACCTAATATTGAAGTGAATCATTCTGATCAGCTGACTGAGCATGGGATGTCCCGCTGCTGTCATCTGACGGGGGGCTGGTCTCAGCAGCCTTAAAGGTCAGGTTACAGACACCGAGCCGCACAACTGTCACTGAGGAGGGTAACTGCATTGTGCTGAACTGCAACTTCAAATGAAGGCTTTTACCTCCAGAAGCAGCCCGACGAAGTGACCTCACGTGATGAGTGAGTGAAGCAGATGTTCCTGT